GAGGGTTGGGCGCTCGCAAACATGTTTAACCCCGCTACATTCTGTATGTGCCTGTCCCAAGACAGGAGCTTGTAATTCAGTGGTTGTCGTTTGTTGCTGTATATTATATTTGTCATTTCGTTCATCATTTTATACAAAAAACCAGGCCGTTAATTTTCTCGTTTGAATTGTTTCACATTTGTCATTTCGGGGCCTTTTATAGTTGACTATGCAACATGGATTCTGCTCATTGTTAAAGGCCGTACGGTGACTTATAATTGATAACCTCTATGTCATTGGGTCCCTGACGGAGTGTCTTATTGGCAATAATACCTCATTTTTTTATTTTTATATTTGTGTCTATTATTGTTTGTGATAGTTGCTTTTTGTGTTTCATACCGATCTATTGTGTTCAGCCATCGCGCCTTATTATAGTGTTTGATTGCATGATAACCTTGAGAATAATGTTATTTTAAAGATCGATAAGTTTACACGGATCGCATCTTCATTTATGAGCTCTATATTCATCATCACCCACCCCCAAGGGAGACTGGGGAAAAGAAATATGGCCTCTCTTGGTTTTCTTCCGACAGGCAGTGAAAACTTTTCCAAAGCGGGGTGCCCGTTTCGATCTACGGAATGTAGAAGTACATAGTCAGGTCCGGTCAGAATGTGGACGCTAAATCCGTTGCCTCGTGTAAAGAGAGTGTCACGCTATCTGTGCGTTAAGAACCCTTGCAACAACTCTTTCAGGGGTCCGTTGGTGACCTGTAACAAGGAAAAATTGTTGTCCAATATACCCTCATTTTCCAGTGGCAGTACAAATTTCGACATTTATCCCAGACGGCCCCTATTACAGAACCTACATATTGTATTTATTGTTAATTTGTTCATTGAACATGCATGAAATATTTACCATTGGACGTTAAGCAACCAACAATCAATCAATCAATTCATCGTAAAAATTAAGATGTGATATCCCATTTGTAATAAGTTTTTTCCAGGTAGAGCCAAATGTACAAATGCAACTGAATAAGAAAGATATTACAATTCAGTAATGAAAATAGTTGATATTCGTATTAAACATTTTAAAGAACATGTTACTCCGAGACAAGGAATTTGTGTTTGTCCCGGCTGATAAGGCTGCTAATTATATCACTGTATATTGAAGTTCTGCATAAAGAAACCTCGAAATCAACAACATTCAAACTGACTCAATTTTTCGGAAAATTACTTCGTTAAAAACATAAAATTTTAGCTACCTCTTTCATTGTTACAAGCAGAACCAAATAACATGAAAGTTCCAACTAATAACTGTCTTCCGAAGCTGCACAACACACCTTACAAATACAGATTTATTTAGCCTACAAGCCATTGTTCTGCTACTTAACTGTTTATTCTATTACTAGTACACTTGTTATAATAAAAAACCTGGAAATAAATTTTAAGATGGTGACCTATAGCTATAAATTTCTATGTCATTTGGTCTCTGTCGTGGAGTTGTCTCATTTGCAATCATACCACATCTTTTTATTTTCATAATTATTCAGAAGGGATATAGTTACGATACTGTTGACAAGTCATTGCAGATGGCATTTTTTGGAATTAATATTGATTCACTCATAGGGTCTTTGCATCGGAAAAAAAGACATTTATTATTTAACCAGTTGTTGTCATGATATGGGTTATTTTCTTCTCGTATAATGTATGGTGGCACGAGTCTTAACCCCTTACGAGAGGAGTTGTGCTTGATTTTCATACGATGAAGACATAATCTTTCGATCAGTTTAATTGACGTCTAGTGCTGGCATGTCTTAACTGCTAGTAGTTCTTTGTTAATTTATGTTTATCAATGTCATTTTTGCTTAGTTTCTTCTGTTTTTCTTATCTAACATCGGACTCGCACGTCTTTTGGACTGAGTTTTACTGTGCGTATTGATGTGTATTTGTTTATTCAACATTGGCTAGGGGTATAGGGGGGAGGTTTGAAATCTCACAAAACATGTTTAACCCCGCCGCATGTATGCGCCAGTCCCAAGACAGGAGCCACTAGCCTTTGTAAACTTTGTGTGTTTATAAATTTTTCATTTATATGTTTCGGGGCTTAGTGTTTCGTCCATTTCTCTGAACTAGTATACCTTATTTTATAGGTGCCAGCTGAAGCCCGTCTCCGGGTACGGGATTTTCTCGCTGCGTTGAAGACCCATTGTGGCCTTGGGCTGTTTTCTGCTCTTTGGTCGGGTTGTTGTCTCTTTGAAACATTCCTCGTTTCCAATCCCAATTTTATAACCTTTAGCGGACAATTTAATATTGATTTCCCTTTATTCTGATGCCACGTGCACCATTCAGAATGTCAGTTATTGTTTTGCGTCTTCTTATATGGATATTATCTTGTTCTTAAACGTTTTCTGTCTTTATATACATTATTCATATTTTGTTTTGATTTTTTTGTGAACGACTTTAGAATGATATATATTTAGATACTTTATACTCTGGAAGTGTTTTTTTTTTTCATTACGAATGTCTGCAGTCGGAATTAGAACGCTCTAAGTTCGCATATATTTAAAAAAAAAAGTTTTTGTCGGTGAGAATATTTGGTTTTTATAATATGTCATTAATTCATTCTTTTAATTTTTTCAGATCTTTAAAGATGAACTCATCATAGATACCAGGATTACAGGTTTGTACGCCAGACGCGCGGTTCGTCTACAAAATACTACAAAAGAATCAGCAATGACGCTCGAATAAAATGGCCAATAGCATTGAGGACCTGAAATTCCGAAAGGTTTTGCCAATTACAGCTTATGTAATCAATTCCTGTGGAACAAAATCCTTTGCATTTCGAAAAATTCAAAGTTTTGTAAACAGTCAATTTATAATTATGAACATATCAATGATAATTCATGTCAACCCAGAAGTGCTAACTCCTGGGCTGGTGATACCCTCGGGAAGGAAACTTCCACCAGCAGTGGCATCGACCCAGCGGGTGTAAATAAACTCGTCATATATACCAGGATTAAAATTTTGTACGCCAGACACACCATTCGTCTACAAAAGACTAATCAGTGACGCTCGAATACAAAAATCCTGTTACTAGTGCGACAATTTGGCTACTTACTTGAAAATCGTATTTTGCTGATCTTTGTTTTGCATTTTAATGTTTGTTTTTGAACTGAAATAGTTTTTGACAAAAATGACCAATAAAATAGATAAAAATCAGCAGTCAGGAATATAACTTCTATAAAGAATCTGTTGAAAATTTCGGCCATAATGATTGATTTGTAGACCTTATTAGGCTGAACAGGTTTGCTTTTTACCGTTTCTCGCTTTATAAAATCATCCTTCAAGGACAATACCTCATTAAAAGAGTTAGTTTACAATTTCAGTCATGTTGAATTTTTTGTAGATCTTATTGTGCTAAACATGATTGCTTCTTTCAATTTCTATCTATCTATAATGATGTTTGCAAAAAATAAAAAAATAATAATACAAACTCTTAAAAGCGTACAATTGACCATTTCTTTTAAGTTGACGTATTTGTAGATCTTTTTTGCTGCAAACTTTTGCTTTCACAATTTTGCTTTAGCTATAATAGTTTCAGCAAAAACAACGCAAACAAAATAATAAAAAATAAATAACAAAATTAGTCTTTCAAGGACAATAACTCCTATCAGGGGTTAAATGACGATTCGTGCATTTGACATATTTGTAGATCTTATTTTGCTGAACACTTTTGCTTTTTACAATTTCTCTCCATCTTTATAGTTTCTACAAAAAAAAGAGTAAAATTAAACTTCCAAGGTCAATAACTCAAATAAGGGATCAATTGACAATTCGTCCACATTGACTCATTTGTAGATCTTCTTGTTCTTGTCATTTTTATTGTTTACATCTCTCGCATCTGTTATAGGTTTTTTTTCAAGATAAACAAAAAACTGCGAAATTGGAAAAAAAATACATTTGAGGAGCAAACCAAAATGGGTTATCCGATTTTTCTTAAAGTTTCGGAGGAGATAGACCTTGACTTTTTAGCTAAATCTAATGTCAGATTTGCTCTAACTGTTTTGTTTTTAACGAAATAAGCCGAAAAGTGCATTTTAGCCTTGGTTCTATTTTAAGCAAAATCAGTCATTTTTGTTAATGGATAAAATTAAATGATACAAGTTTAAACTAAATATCCTACTGATCATTTAGGTAAAGTTTGGTAACATTTCGCCAAGTAGTTTCAGAGGAGAAGATTTTGTTTACAGTTTGCTCCGGATGGGTAAGCAAATCCTGCTCCACATGTGGCACCCGTCATGTTACTCGTGTAGACACGTACAGACTCGTTGATAAGTCTAATTCGATTATATCACATGCGAGGAAAAGACGACGGGATTATGGTTTCGAAAAAAAGATTTTACTTTGAATAACATATAATGTAATAAGATATCTAACTTGTTATCATTTTTCTTGTATGTGAAAAAAAATATCAATAGTAGGATACCACATGCATGAAACGGATTTCTAAAGAGGTAACCGCAAACCCGTATAAATAAAATGTACTGTTGACTTTATCCGAACATTATTCTTCAACTTGAGCGTTAACAGTAATTTGGTAATGGCATAAATGATACAAAGTTCCGAAATAGTAATATCATTCGGAAATAGTTTAATCTCATTCGAATAGTAGATTTTGATATAAGTGGTCTTTTCCCTCCAAACTTTTGTAATGCTGCAATGGTGTCTATTCCAGAAGTGTGTATTGTATGATTGGTTTCTTGTTGTTTGCTTAACTCCCAGTTGTAACTTGAACATGTGTATTGCAAAGAAAACATTTAGAATAGATAAATGAATACACGAATTCAATGTTAACATAGCACTCTTATATTTAAAATTTATAAAGTTTGTGGCTTGCATGCTCATAAAAGAAGATACCCAAGTGATACTCAAGTTATTAGACGTTGGTAGCCAAAAGGGCCATCAAATTTATGTCAAACAAAAAGTTGTTGTAAAATCTAAATTAATTTTATTTTCTTAATTGATACAAAGCATTTTTCTGAATATCTTTATTTTTTAGTAGTTTTTTTAATCTTATTTACGAACATGAGAAGACGAGGACATATGTGTTATCTTTGACGCAATTCAATACAAATAGCTTTCGATAATCTTTACTTAACAGAATGTCAGTAGGACTGCAAATATCATTTTCCGTATTCAGGATGATATCAATGAATTCTCCGTTTGGTGTAATTCGTTGGATAGTATTTGAATCTTCCCACGCCACGTATAAATTATTTTTTTTGTCGGTAGTAACTGCAATTGGTCTCTTGAGAACTTCTGAAGTGTATCTTAATCGTTGTTCGCCTTCCAGAGTTACATTACCTACAGCGTTACACTTGATATCTGTATAGTAAACACTATCATCAGGACCTGGATGTAGATCTGCAATATCACCAGCATTCGGTACATTCACTGTAAATTCATTTTCCCCTTGCTTATCAAGTATGTATAAGTTTTTACGTCTCATGGTATAGTATCCACCAACACAAATCTTATCTTTGACGATAGTAACTCCACGGCAACGAAAAGGTACAAAATGTGTAGAACCAGCTTTCATTATTTTAATGTCGATAAATTGTATTGATTTCTGATCAAGAAACGTAACGACAGCTTTATCTTCACCAGGTATAACAGCTATATCCCGAGGATTACCAGACAAATGACAATCCTGTAAGAAATCTCCACTGTCACTGTATACCAGTAGGTAGGTCCCGATGGCATTACAGATTAGGAGACGGTTATCATCTGTAATGCCCATTTTGGTGATCGACCCATTTTGATGGATATCTATTTTACGGTCAAATTCAAATTTCGATGGCATCTGAGGAGTTGATGATGGAACCTGAACTTGTTGAATTTTTGATGGCTTATAATCTGCCTTGTATTGCAAAGTATTTACTCTGGTTGATCCCAATGATGTTATAGTATTTTGAATATCTTCTCGTGGTTAGAATATCATTCTTCTTGTCCTAAGTGTTGGCAAGATGTTCTGAAGTTTGATTTCCAAATCAATAATTTCTAGTTTATACTTATTAATCAGGACAAACAATTGCTTTTTTGAACCATACTTAGAAGCTTGATCTATTTTCCTTGATAACTTTTTGATCGGTATTTCAATTTTCAACAAACTATTTTTTTGTAGCTCAGTTTTAGCGCTTTGCTCATTCTTTAACGAACTTGTTTCAAGTGTAATCATTCCTTCAAGTTCGTCTAATCGTTTAATTATTTTAGCTTTGTAACTCGCAAGTTGACTTGAAATCGTAGATTCATCATCATTAAGATTTTGTATATTTACATCTTGACTTGTGATTGCTCAATTTAATGTCGTTGTAATGTTTAACACAGAATGAGATAATTCTTGAAACATAACTGAATGTTTCACATCTTTTGCTGCATCTTCTAAAAGAAGCACATTTTGACACAAATTATGTTCCTCGGTCTTGCAAGATAGACAACATAAGCAGTCATGTGCAACACAAAAGAAGTCGAGAATGCTGCCCTCGTGGTTTGTACAAAAATTCTCTAAAGATAATGTTCCAATATCAGTCAAATGATGCTCGAAAAATGCTGCATTCAAATTGTGGTTCGATATACATTGCCAACAAAGCTTATACTGACATTCAGAGCAAAACTGAATAGCCTCTGATGAGTCATTTTTACTAGAGCAAAGGTCGCATGTTAACCATGAGATGTCCATTTTCTTTGAGACCAAGTAGCCTAAAAATGTAAATTGTAGTTATTTGACTTTTATTTATATGAAAAGTCTCTGATATCATGGTTATATGAACTATGACAATAAAGTAAGTATTAAAGTTTTAATGTTAACACAACTTCTTATATCGTAAGTTTGTAATTGTAATTAAAAGTATAGAAACTCAGGTTGAAGGTGTCTGACAGATCCGAGAAGTACTCATACCTTACAACCCATCCCTGCCTAGCTTTTGCCCAAATATAGAGTCAGTCTGTTTAGTAGTACTTAAGACAATAGTAACAGACATAATCGTTTACCAAATTGATGGACCTTCAAGGAGAATGCAATTATTATGTTATTTTATGAAAATGCAAGCGTATGCCTAGTTTATAATACAATGTATACATTTACAAGGTAACGCCACCTTCTTAGGAAGAAAGATAAGAAGTTAGCAATATCCTTTAACTCTACGTTCCGCTATATAGATGATGTTCTCTCACTAAATAATACAAAATTTGGTGACTATGTTGAACGAATCTATCCCATCGAACTAGAGATAAAGGATACTACAGATACAGTTAAGTCTGCCTCATATCTTGACTTACATCTAGAAATTGACAATGAGGGTCGGTTGAAAACAAAACTTTACGACAAAAGAGATGATTTCAGCTTCCTAATTGTGAACTTTCCATTTCTATGTAGCAACATTCCAGCAGCGCCTGCATACGGAGTATATATCTCCCAATTGATACGATATTCCCGGGCTTGTGTTTCCTATCATGATTTCCTTGATAGAGGATTGATAATCACAAGGAAGCTATTAAACCAAGAGTTCCAAATGGTGAAGTTGAAATCATCCCTTCGTAAATTTTACGGACGCCATCACGAGTTGGTTGACCGTTATGGAATAACCGTTTCACAGATGATATTGGATATGTTCCTTATGTCGTAACTACAATACCCTTCCCTTTTCACGAATATGACTTACCGAATTAGACTATTTACCTGATTTGTAATAACATAAGCAACAAGACGGATGCCACATGTGGAGCAGGATCTGCCTACCCTTCCGGAGCACCTGAGATCACCCCCAGTTTTTGGTGGGGTTCGTGTTGCTTAGTCTTTAGTTTTCTATGTTGTGTCATCTGTACTATTATTTGTCTGTTTGTATTTTTATTTTTGGCCATGGCGTTGTCAGTTTGTTTTCGATCTATGAGTTTGACTGTCCTTCTGGTATCTTTCGTCCCTCTTATAAATGTGCAGTCAAAATTTAAGCTTCATCTGGTTTGTTATTGCAATTTCGATCACTTTAGATAAGAAGTTGTCACAAGCAGACTACTAGTATGTCGAAATTCAGGTGTGAGCTGATAGCCTTCTTGATTGAAATATGACAGTACTAATTTGTTTGTTCATTGACAAGTATATACCATCATCATCATAACCTTGTCTTGCTAATTTATTTGAATGATAATTTGATGGAAAGATTTTTTACATGATCGGAACAAATAGTGGTTGGCTGTTTTTTTAAATCATTGTCAGATATGATCGAAAAAAAGAAAGTATCTGCTTCAAGTATTGTGTGAAATAACTTTCGTACGTTTAACAACCTGTAAAATGGTTCCTGAAAGTAACAACATTTTGTTCGTCAAAATACTAGAAAGTTTGTTCATGTTTCAATGTATCACTTGTAAAACGATACGGTTTGAGTTTGTTAAGCATGAGGGCAATTTACGTACTCCACATTAGAGAATATTATTAGTTACACAGTGTTTTAGTGACCTACTACGATATGCGAAGCTCGAACCCCATATGGAATTTACTGACCCCATATATATCGTATTAGGTCACTGGCACACTGTGTAACGAATTTATCTTACCGACTATCTCAACATGTGGCATTTAGACTAGTGGCCTATCAAAGCTTACGTGATCAAGTCATTAATATAAAGAACCTACTTTCATTGGTCTATACAAAAACAAATGCCAACAATAACTACTTGTCAGCTTTTAATGTGTTTTCTGCATTTATTCCAAATCGTTCATCATCAATTTCTTCATTTGTTGTCCGGGCGAAACGTTTCAGATTTTTCCTCAACGCCATGTGGTTTTTATAAAGGGACGTAACACCACTGCTAACCGTGTATTTAAATAAATTACGCCTACTAACCCCATAATAGATATACACGGTCTCCACGCGGTCGCTTCTGTCCAATGATATTTCTAGAAATGTAAAGGAGGTAAGATAATGGATCGTTTGGAGGTCGGTTCATGGATTCAAAATTATAATTGAGGGACTAAATAACAAATAAGGATACAACTACAAAATAAATATAGAATCGAAAATTTCGTTTGTTTCTTAAATAATTGAAGGTGAAAAAACTGTCATAATAGGTGCAATTTTGGTACACTTATGTTCGGTCTATTTCTTATTTACTTGAAAAGGTAGCCAACATTCGCAATCGCTATTGAGAGAAAGATTATACTAAATTTTTAAATATCTATTTTCTTTCCTAACAATGTCATTAAATAATTTTAAGTCGTAAGCAACTTAAATAAACTGATCATATATACCAGGATTAAACTTTGGTACGCCAGACGTGCGTTTCGTCTATAAAAGACGCTCGAAACAAACAAATTAAAAAGGCTAAATAACGTACAAAGTTGGAAGAGTATTTAGGACCCAAAATTCCTAAAGGTTTGGCTAAGGTTGTCCGTTCCTTGGATAGAAAATCCTTAGTATTTCGTAAAATTCAAAGTAGAGTATTAAACAAACAAGAAATGTCTTGCCAGAGCTGTCATCAATTTTATAAATCATCATGAATTAAGAAATGTATCACCCTCATGCATAGCTTTACTTTTTTTTATCCAAGTTTACCTATACTTTTGAGAAATCCAGGTCTACAAATCTTTCAACTTTGTATTAGGTTCTGTATTTTTATATGTTTTGGCCTCGAGCATCATCGACGAGACATTATTTGGCGAAATGCATATCTGATGCAGTAATATTGGTACCGCTATATGTTATTTTTGAACCTGTAATGGGCACAATTTCGCTACTCATCTGTACAACACTATTTGCATATATCCTATTCCAGTAATTTACCATACCAACTTCAGTGCAAACGACACACTTCGTTAATACAATCACAGTGGTTGTTAGCTACTATGATACGTTACTTACTTGATTCAAATTTCTCCTTGGATATCGTAATTTCTACTTGAACAATGGTTTTGGTCTCCGTATCAAGATCACAAACGTCAAGGAAACCTTTTAAAAATGATTTTACAGCTAATTGAAATTCTTCGTCGTTTTGCAGGTAACATACTTGAGCTGATGTCTGAATAACCAGTGATCCCTTGTAAATAAACACTATACGGAAATATTTTCCCATTAGAGATGAAAAGTTTTCCAAGGTTTTCTGGATTTCATCTACATCCCAGTTACCTGGTGTTGCCAATGTCCATTCTACATAGCAAACGTCATTATCTGAAACAGAATCAAAGCAAAAATATAATAGAAAATGATTAAATCATTGAAGTATACACCCATTAAACTGATAATATGAAACACAACCTAGTTCTTAATGATTGTTTAGACTGGTATTTTTAATTAGTTTGATCAAGAATATCTTTATCCAAATTTCAACCAATATAATAACCCAAACCAACATATGAAACTTACTTAAGGTGACGTATTCTTAACCCTCTCGTGCGTCCAAGGAATACAATAAAGTTAGAGAAATAAATCAGTCTTTCAGGTCTTTATTTGTTTGCATGAATATGTGTGTTTCATCCGGTATATACGTACAAGATGCTATATACGTATAGCAACATCATAGCTAAACAAATACAAAGTTTTAATATCAAATGGCTTAATTAAAACACAAAGAACATACCATGCGAAAGTCCTTTTTTGTTGGGATCTGTTGCTTTAGACAGCTCATCTTTCCATAATGTTTTAACCTCAAATACAACATTGCGTATGCCAACAGTGAGATCTTTGAAAAGATAATTGGATGATTAGCAATCTAGATCTGGTCGTACATGTACCAAAGACAAAAATAAACTTACATAAATGTCGTATTTACTACTTATATAATGCGTATACACGATATAAGATTCAGCTGTACGACGGGGATTTCTATCATTAGTCTATTCTTATTCCTCGTCAGTTTTCTTATTCTATTAATTATAATTCTACTCTGTTTTTGGTGGGCATTGTGTTGCTTAATCTATAGTTTTTGTGTAGTGTTTTGTAGGACTATTGTTTGTAATTTCTTCGTCTATCGTATATTTTTACAATGGTCACTTCCATTGAAAAATTTTGATTCTCCTCTTTTTTCTAATAAGAATCTATTAGAAACTAATCATCAGAAGGAATACGTTGTACATTGAAGTTTGTCTTCGTTCTTTTTCTTTTTATGTATATACGTTTGTTTGTTCGGCGGAGATGGGCCATTGTGGTCCGTTGTATTGGTTATTTTTATTTATAGAGGTTCCTGTTTTTGTTTTGTATATATATATATATTTCCGCAAGTTTATTGTTTTCTGTTTGGTAATAAATCTATAATAAGATCTATTTTGTTAAATCTTGTGATCCGTTTATTTGGCAATCGCCAATGGCAGTAAGCAGGGTTTAAAATAATCAGTTGTTCGACCTGCTAGTCAAATGCGTTTTGTTAAAATATATCTTTTCACTCAATTGGTCTTTTTGAAAATGTTGTTTGTGCTGTATTTAGACCCCTCTACCAAGAAATTTGTTTTGTATATATACACAAGTCTAAATTGAAAACAATGTTCAAACCTATGATTGCGTTGGATAAAAACCGCAATTTTTATACGTTTGCATGTAAAACAAATTTCTTGGTAGAGGGCCGGGGTCTAAATACAGCACAGACAACATTTTCCAAAAGACCAAAAAGTGAAAAAGTATATTTTAACAAAACGCATTTGACTAACAGGTCGAACAACTGATATTCTTAAACCCTGCTGACTGCAATTGGCGATTGCCAAATAAATTGATAACCAGATGTAAAAAATGTATCAGACGTATTAATTTAATACCAAACAGAAAACAATAAACTTGCGGAAAAGATGGTGTACCGCAAACACTAGGTGCCAAAATTTGTACACCATATCCGGATTTCGACAATTAATGTCTCTTCAGTGATGTTAGGTATCGAAACGGTATTTGGATGGCCATATAATTAACTTCATATATATATAAGTCTGAAAATTACACCCAACAGTGTTAGAATTAGACTTTTATGCTGACAAATTTTTGTCCCTCAACGGGATTCGAACTCACATATATATATATATATATATATAGTGTCTAAAAATAGCAACAATCAACATTCAATCTATCTAGGCGTGGATGTTGGTGACACAGAAACGAAATTCAACATCAGACTTAACAATCACCACACTTTTTTTAATACAAAAGGAAGAAACTGTCCAATTACGAGACACCTCTTAAGAACAGGGCATACTTTTGAAATATCACCTTTCAAATAATTGAGGTAAACCAAAATTGGGACTTCCAAAGGAGAAAACAGAGAGAAAGGTTCTGGATGCATCAGCTACGTACTCTTGAACCTGATCGACTTATTGAGATAGATGAAAAACTGTTCTACCCAAAACTAAAGGAATAAATCCTGAACTTCATTCTATTTAACTAAAAAAACTATTTGTTTTGATTTAAGAATTGCTATGTACAATAAGCGGCAAAAATATTTTTCTAGACAATTTACAAACATATATTTTTTATAGAACATCAATAAATTTTGTTAAACTTTTACTCAAATTTTGTGTAGTTCAAGCTAACAATAAGCGGCACAAATATTTTTCTAGACAATTTACAAACATATATTTTTTATAGAACATCAATAAATTTTGTTAAATTTTTACTCAAATTTTATGTAGTTCAAACTACAAAAATATTTTTTTGTCATGCATCCGATTTCACCTTGAGAGATGCACACGCCTGATGAAGCTAATTTGTTTAGCGAAATATTGCGTGAATAATATAAAATATAACAACTAATTTTATAACACTCATTAGTGTGTTAAAGTTACATTCTTAGGCACTTATCTATATATATATATATATATATATATATATATATATATATATATATATATCGATGCTCTATCTTCCAACTCGTGTGTTGGTTTCGCCTTGCACCATTTAAAAATCATTTTAATGATTTTTGCTTGTGGGTATTTTTGTTTTGCAAATTTTTCGTTTCAAGAAAGTGAATCAGTTTAACGTTAACATTGATAGGATTTTTCAATGGTCTTAAAAAAAATGCATAGTGCATCATATGTACACAACAATTTATAAATGCTCAATGTATAATATATTTTACAGAAGTGATATCAAAGATAACACCGTACTTTTTGTCTATAAAATAGCTGAAGATTAGGACATTTGAAGAACGAAATTCGTAAAGTACGGCTACACAAATATGTTTTTTATATATTCTTCACTACATTTATACGAATATTAGGCATTTGGATTATACAGAGCACATTGGCCTGGTGTTTCACAATTTTTAAAGTATTTATGTTTCAATATTTTATACAAAGGAGTAGGCCCGGTAAGCCCCATTTTGGCCACAAAATATAGCATTTTTACAAATTTGTTGAAATGTAAACTTTTAGCTCTTTATTGGAAAGTAGAATACTTTTGTTCCATAAATATGGGCTGTTTTTGATAATACAATGCACATGCATCAGGTAATAGCATCATAAATTCATGCAAAATTACTGAAATCTTCACAATTGTAGCATTTGTGCTAATTTTAAGACGGTTTTTGTCTAAAATGGAAGTGGCCGCATTTGTGTTCAGTCTTAATATTTAAAACGATGCTGTATTTGATGATAATATATAACATATATAAAGGTTGAGAATGAACACAAATGCGGCCATTTCCATTTTAGACAAAAACCATCTGACAAATGACGTTTTATGGCATATTTGATAGATTTTTCATATTTAAGCTTGAATTTGAGCGTCTTTAATGACCAAATCAGTTCAAATATTGTACATAAACTAATTGAATCTTAAGTGTTTAAAAATGTCAAAAATCTTTCATCAGATGCACTTCGAATTTTAGGCCAACAGTAGCCCTTACCGGACTTTCTCTTTTATCTATTATAAAATTCTAATAGATCAAATTTAATGGGAAAACTCAATGAGATAAAACCAGACAAGAAAAAACGACCGCTAAAGTTCGCATTATAATTATTAATCTCTAATACATTTATTATTTCAAAAGTATTTGATAGAGATGTTGTCTCATGTGTCTAATCAATTACTTTTTCAATTGGAGAAAAACACATTATTATTACCTTTTTGTTCTTCAAGTCGGCTTAAAACCTCGGTATTTAATTCTTGTGTATTCTTTACCAAATTCTTTGTTTGATTTGCAAATGATTCAACGGTTCTTTTTTGCTCTTCTACGAACATATCAAGAATCTGTAAAATGATTAATAGAATTATTTGTCAATACTTTTCATATCATATTGTAAATATAGTTCTATCTTGTATCAGTATCGATACACAAATCTTAAGACTTTTATTATATTTCCTATGTGTGCGAGGTTCGACCCGATATTTATTATATTGGCTGGTTATATATATATATATATATTCTGTGACTGCATGTTACGATCTTTTACGACAGATAATTAAGCTAATCTGCAATCAATTACATCTTCATGCCTAATATGTCATGTACTGTGTTACAACACTAGATTATACTGACGAGGAAAGGTAACACTAGGCCACTGTAAGCTGAATTATTAGTTCAGTCTAGGTGGCCGTGTGGTCTAGAGCGCTGGACACAGTGCAGGCGGTGTTGTCTCGGTATCCAAATAGCATGAGTTCGAATCCCTGCGAGGAAAGAACAAAAATTTGCTTCCGTAATTTTGCAGATTTAACATTGATATATAGAGTAATTATGTATATATATATATATTGTATATATAAGTACGTCTGAACCAGTGACGACTCTACAACAGATTTATCCATCGGATCACCAGCAGTGATGGTGATACATGGCTGTGTACATTCTTTATATACAACTCGTCTAAACATCAGCCCAACAATGTTAGATCTGTAAATTTGCTTTCACAATTTTTTTGTTCTTCCCTCGCCGGGATTTGAACTCATGCTACTGAGATATCGTGACACCAAATTGCCTGCTCTGTATCCGACGCGCTAGACCACACGACCACCTAGGCTTCACATTAATAAAGCTTTCGGTGGCCGGGTGTTACCTCTCATCGTCAGTTGTAATCTAGCGTCGTAATACAGTACATGATATATAAGGGATCAGCGGAAATATCTATTTTAAAGGATCGTACAAATTAATGCAATATACAGTCATACATAATTACTCTAAATATCAGCACAACAATGTTAAATCTGCAAATCTGCGGAAGCAAATTTTTGTTCTTCCCTCGCAGGGATTCGAACTCATGCTATTGGGATATCGTGAAAACACCGCCTTTACTGTGTCCAGCGCTCTAGACCACTCGGCCACCTAGACTGAACTAATAATTCAGCTTTCGATGGACTAGTGTTACCTTACCTCGTCAGTAGAATCTAGATTTGTAACACAGTACATGATATTTTAGGCATGAAGATGGAATTGATTGCAGATTAGCTAAATATATATCGTAAAGGATCGTAAGATACAGTCACAGAAATAATTATTTTGATAATTACGTCTAAACAAGTGACAACTCTACGATATATATATAAAATGTCTGAATAATAGCCAACGATAAATCTTACGGGGCAATGGATCGTATTATTATGATACAGTACACTTCAAAATATAATATATAATAAGCAAGTCTAAAAGGGTACAACATCACAAAAAAAAAAAAAAAAAATCATGAACAAATGTTAAACATTTCGCATAACTTATATCCTTCATCAGTAAGATGTTCAATGGTTCTTCTCTTGACATGTGGTAGTCACACTGTAATAGTAATCTTGATCGGGAGGAGGAGTACATTCCTTAAAACTGTAAGAGTCCTGTACTGAAGCCTGAGTTACTGGAAACAAGTCATGGTAGGGACTCATTCTATGTGTTTTCATTAATGCCCTCTGGGGAAACTGTCCTTAACTTCCTTATCCCAAAACTTTACTGAGCAAGTCTGTCGGCCCTTGACCAACCCTCGTTGTGGTCTATGATAGTGATGGTAAGTTTTTTGAGATCAGCTTGGGCGTGCCCAGGTGATCTCAAATGACGACTTACGGGGAGGTCGGGCTTGCAGGTGAAGTCACTTCGATGACCATTCATGCGTTTGTTGAATGGCTGTTCTGTCTCGCCAACATACTGCATGCCACATCGACACTGAAAAAGGTATACAACATTCTAGGTTTTGCAAGCTACATTGTAATATATAGTGATACGGACCCAGTGGAGGGGCAAGTAAATGTTTGAGTGTTCAGTATTTGTTGGCAAGTCAAACATCGTCTGTTACCACACAACTTGCACCAGATTTGGGATTAAATCAAAAGACCAAAACTTACCTGTATTATTGAGCTAGTATTGTTAAAATTATTGACACTGACGAAGGCTATATGTTAAGCTGAAATATTTGTCTACACGATTTTATAACATCATCTTCGTATATTACCATCTTCTATTAGTACCGTTGTGCAAATCTTTAGACTATATGACCCTGAACCGCAATGGTACTCGCTGAAGGGCGTTTTTATCACGCTGGAGTGCGATGGTGGTAATGTGACGTTATCTTGTTGATAGTAACGCCGAAGTGTGATGGTTGTTGCGCTGATGTGAGATGGTTGTTAAGCTGACGTGCGGTGGATTACATAAACTTTATTGTATTTTATTTTTTCATGTTCACATGTCGATGTAGAAGTCAATTTATTTGTAAGAAGCAGCTTTACAAATTTTAAAGTACACACCGTAAAGTTCACAGACTTATATATCTGTACAAAAATTAAAAGTCATCTTGTTCCAGATTATCTCTGTAATTTTCATCCATTATTTAAACAAAACACTGACAACTATTACTGAAGACGTCATGCCAACTTGATGCCTATCAGGTCAAGACCAGAACCATTCTAAAATTCTTTTTTCTAGCTACGCTTAGAGACTTGAATAGCTTGTCAGCTGAACTGATGGCAGCAACATCTTTAGCGTGTTTTAAAGTGTTGTTAAAGAAGAATAGTAATTTGTGTAGAACAAAACTATTCATGTTGGCATGGTTTTGGTGAAAGATTCATACTAGATTACGCTTAGGGCTTAGTGTCCTTAAATTACCATTTGTACAAATATAATCTTATATTAAATAGGTTTTGCGATTTCTGCCCAGGTTACCGTATTGAAAGCACTTAGCTTTTTTAAATCTTGCGTCCGTCACACGAACTATCGGATTACTCTTCTATTTAGTATTAAGAATCTGATTTGTCAAGATATAGATATAGCAATAATGTAAGTAATATGTCCAAACTCCCTCAGCAAAATTTTACTAGAAGGTAGTGACGATTTGTCTGAGGATGCTAATTAAGAGTTGTTTGAGTGTTATTTCGATATATTAAATCTTTAAACAGGTTTTCTTGATAGACCAAAAACTTATTTCTGTTATTTTTTCTTCTTGTACTAAAACATATTAGGTAAGAAACACACACATACACTTATATGTATATGTATATGTATATATATATATATATTTTTTCATTTGACCTGATTGTACTCATAATCGTCTGTCCTTAATCATTATTTTATATTACTGAGTTCAACATGATTGTAAGTCGTGTGCGTCTGAATGAAAATGGGTTAGTTGTTGGATGAGTGTGAAGTTTACATCTTTATGTCTTGTCCTATACATATTGTCTTGTTTTGTGTTAAACATGTTTGTAAAACAAACACTCTTTGTTAATTGTGAACCTGTATATATTTATGTTTAGGAGACCTACACGTAGTCTCTGGCTGTTTGCAATCCTTTTTAAATAACTAAAGAATTAAATTAAAATAGTCGAGAGTATGCAGCAAAATTATTTCAGACGATCTCTGATTTAGTATGCAACTGTAACTAAGGATATACACAATATGACATATATTCTTGACTTTCAAAAGTTGCAAACACCGTACATTAAAGGTATAAATGAAACTATAATATTTGCAGGGTATTGACGGATAATATTCAAATAGTATACGATAATCACATAATCCTAATTTGTACGGTTAACAGGGTTATTGCAGAATGATAATTCTTTTACAGATTCTCTTATTTCAACCATACACATACATATCATCAATACCGATATGCCATGAATGTTTTATGTACAATATTAAATGCAAATTCATATAATGACAATAAATAAAAAAGCCACTTTTCATAATAATTGCAGATTTTATACTAGCCATCACGCGCCATAAAGACCATCACAAATCAGTGAAAGGACCATTACACTTAATACGACGAAAACCATCACACTTCAGCGTCCCCTTCGCACCTCCGAGTTCTACATATATATGTAATGTAAAATTCAACTAAGGTCTAGTACATGAATGCACCTGGGTATGTCACCAAAGTATTAAAAGCAACAACAGAGATAAAATCGAATAAATATGCGATTAGGCAATTTTGAACCTAAAAAATAAAAGGTTATGTCGATCTTATAGACTTCCGATATAGAAACCTCAGCTCAATGGTTCTTAATTTTACCTCCGGCTTTAAAGACCTAACCATTTTTGTCGGATATGAGTATTTGGTATATCCAAATGCGTACAGACTTCAGAAGTGTTGTCATTTTAGAAGTCACATAAATGCCTTTATGATACTTTTTGATCCTCTACAAAGGATATTAATAATTTTCTAGGTATAATGTAATCATTTGATGCGGAAAGTGTTATGTGGGTTTAAAGTCATATTTAAGACTGTTATGATAAGTAGCAAACTGGCCACATCTACGTTATGATTAGTCTTGCATCACGGCAAAACCACCACTTTTCAGTAAGTCAATTGTGTAGCATTGAACTAGGATTCAAGGCTACATTTGGATATATTTGTCAATGCGTAGGTACCATAGATACATCTAATGTTTGGATGAGGGATGGGGAGGAAAAGGCATGTTTTTCCTTATACTATAGGGTTCCATTCTCATTTTCTTAGAATCATAATTAAGTTGAAAATTAATTAATAAAAAATAAAAGTAACATTGATTCAAAAAGTTTCACATTCCTTTATGTAAATCTGAAATATATTTTTTTATGAAAATTGAACAAACAATGTATGTCCCGAGTAAAAAATATCATGATCCCTTCTCCAACACGCATGGAAATAGGAAATGAAAAGTGGAAAGGAATCGGTATAAAATATATAATATGTCCTACCTCGAAAAAAAAAGAAAAATGTATCCATTAACATTTTTCAGAAGCGTCCGTAAGGTGTCGGTAGTTTAATTTTGTCTTCATACTTGTCTTAATTTTT